ATTTTAGGTCTATTTACATGATATCTTTCTTAATAGTCTCAATACAACAAGGCAAGCTGCTTGGGAAATAAAACAGGACTCTCTTATCTAGAAGGACCCAGCATTCTGGACATCACACACAGTTTTTAGCTTCAGTCATGCAATCAGTGATTCTCAGAGATTCTTGGATGTTAGATACTCAAGGTTATAATGACATGAGGCCTAGATTGGAGAATCTTTTAGCAAGTGTGTCCTATATGCCTCCTCCCTGGGAACCAGACACTATAAAACAGCATCTCAAAATGTTGCAGAGGGAGAAACTACATAAAGGGTACTGACCGCCCAACTTCTGCTGAATTCTAGATAACAGTCCTCAGAATTAACAAGCAATTCTGTTCTGCCTTCATAAGAAGGAAGATGTAGCTAAAATCCCTGAACATCCAGTGGCTTCCAAAAAAATTAAGTATTTAAAATTCTTCACTATTTTCAATGAGCAATCTGAGTATGGTGTAGAGGCTCATTGGCAAATGTAATCCTATTCACTTACATAAAGGTGCTTTTGTAGACAAATTTGTCATCCAGTTTCAGAAAACAAGTTTAGGACAAACAAATCAATAAAAAGAAAGAGAGAAAAGCAAATATTTCCCTCTTGTTAGGTTTTATTTATCAGAGTAAATATAGCTCTACCTTATCATGTTCTCTATGAGGAAATTTCTGTTCTTTTTTTAGATTTGGAGAACTGCTTTTCCCAAGAGAACCCCTAGAACGAAGAACCCTGAACTGTAAACGTGTCCTTTGTCCTGGTTGTTTACCCACCTTATCAGGGCACACAGAGCAATGTGATTCTAAGATAAAAATCCCCAAAGATACAGTTAGATGTTTTCCCCAGAAATATCACCCAATGCTATGAAAATCTGTTAGCTATTTTTCACATCACACTTGAAGTGAATGGTCCCTCACTTTCTTGCTGGTTAACTTTTTAAGATACATGAGGAAACCAGAGTTGGACACTGATGAAAATGCATCCTTTTGGATAAAACTACTGAAAATGCAAACCTTATCTCAAAAGTTCTGTGAAATGCCAATAAACCCATTTTCTATATTAATAACAGGTTCATCACTATTTAACATAAATAAAACTATAAGATAATTTTATGTCCCCAAATCTGAATAGAAGTGATAAGTTGTAGCAAGATATTTCTTGATATTTCTAAAGCTTAGTATCTAAGCTTTCTGATAATACTTTACTAATACATTTAGGTCGATTATGAATACAAGGGACAAAAAGACAACACTGGGAGCCCACAAATGTTTACTTGTTATGCTGCAAAGAAATACTCTCTAGTCCAGCCAAAGAAGTACTGTAGACATGGGATCTTTCACATATTTCTGGAACCCCAACACTGCATGTTTCTTAAGGGAATGAAAAAGAAAATCTCCTGCTGCCACCTGCTGGTATTTTATGGTCAATGATATTTGAAAGTATTAAAATAACTTTTAATACCAGAACAGTCTTAAGAGTCTGTCTATCTTACTTCAGTTCTGGATATGCATACAATAAATTATGTGATGAATTAATGAGATAATATTCTATACATCTTTAGAAACAGAGTAGAAACTTAAGAACATTTTCCTGACTGCTTGATTCAGAGACACATTGCACCATATTGTTCCAAAATGAAGTCAAAGTGCTTGCCTAGCATGGATGATGCCCTGGGTTCGAATTTCAGAAATGCATAAACCATCATGGTAGAGCAAGTAAGTCTTGAATCTTAGCACTATAGAAATGGAGGCAGGGTGATCAGAAGTTCAAGATCATCTTTAGCTATTTACAGAGTTCAAGGCCAGCATGGCCCACAATGAAACCCTTTCACAAAAAAACTTAGTCAACTAGGTCGTAAGTCAGCAATAAAGATTTGAAGAGGAGATGTCATGGCATATATGTCTGCACAGTATTCACAACTCAAATTCATACAGGCAACTAGAAAACTTATACTCCTTTACCAAACACAGAGCTCAATTGTAGTTTTGAAGACTGCTCTAGAGTAAACTTGAGCTCTAACAATGTTCACACAGCACTAATGAAGGATCCTAAATGAGAAATTCATGGGTGGAGCTATCATGGCCCCAGCAGCACAATTCTGCAACTGGAGCAACAAACCCTCTAAAATTTAGAATGTGCAAGGGCTAATGTTCCTGCAGCTAGTCACATTTCTCATTTTGAAGAGTTTGAGAAATTTTAAAGTCCTAGCCTAGCAAAGTAAGAAAAGAATTCATTTATGTTAGAGAGTACTTTAAAAAAAATCCAAGTAGCTTGGAGCTGGAGAGATGTCTCAGTGGTTAAGAACACTGACTGTTCTTGCAGAAAATCCGGGTTTGAATCCCAGTACCCATATAAGAGCTAACAACTGTCCGTAACTCCAATTCCAGGGGATCCGACAGCCTCTTCTGTCCTCTGCGGGCATTGCACAACATGGGTGCACTTACATACATGCAGGCAATACATGCATATACATAAAACAAAAATAATAAAAATTTTTTTTAAATTCAAGTAGCTAGTTAATCTGTTGGGAAAGCAGTGCTTTCTGTGGATACAATACCAACAACATAATGTATGACTTCTGACATCAAACAACTGAAACACTATTTTTGGTGAAAAGTAAGCTATGGAAATTATTCAGTTATTTTGTGTTGCATTTTTGGTCTATTCTAAAAAAAAATGCTGGAAATGTGGATACTTGAGTAATCATTTTCTTCAAAATTGGGGTCAAGAACAATATGAATCAGAAGGCAAAATTCCAATATATAGATTCTGAACCTTTCTATCCCATCCCTAGACACGAGCAAATTTGTCTGCAAGCATACTGAAGAATTCTCTATAATAATATGGTGCTATAACTAAATCTTGTATAAATTCTGCTGCCAAATAACCACCAAAATGGATGGTGAATACAGCCAAGTAATTCTAATTATGGAAGTCGGGTTTTCTACAATGTTACATACAAGAAGCAAAAGCAAGATCAGACAGCTAAGACAGAATGCTAAGGTAGTATAAATAGTTTTGTCAAGTTCAATGCAAGCCCCTTTTGGGTAACAGCTGCTACTTTCTACAGTTCATAGTTACTTTACAAACATAATCTGGGGGCCTGGAGCAATAGCTCAGCAGTTAAGAGCACTGGCTGCTCTTGCAAAGGACCTGGGTTCAGTTCCCAGTACCAACACGGTGACTAACAACCATCTATAACTCCAGTTACAAGGGATCTGATGCACTCCTCTGGCTTCTGTGGGCATCTCATGCAAGGTGTACTTACATTGATACAGGCAAAACACATAAAATAAAAATGTATAAATTAAAAAGAAAGCATAATCTGGAATCCAGCCCTTGATATTTCTCTGAAAAATAAGTTATGAGATTTAAAGGTCATTGTCATTCCTGGGACAAAAAAGGGAACTTAGTGCCAGTGTCCCAGGTAATTTTCCATCTTATATTTTAGCCTCTCCATTAATGTTCTTTCAAAGTTCTGTTCAGACTTCAATAAAGTGCACTTTAGCTCTCTAAATAAAAGTGTGAAAAGTGTGCAATGCCAAAAATTATACAAGTTGAATCCATACATATAACCAGTGTCCAATCAAGAAGTCAGTCTTTGAAACTACAAGACAGTTAAGAAGCTAGAAGTGCTTTCATGCAAACCTGATGACCTGAGTTTAATCCTGGATCCCACAAGGTGACAGGAGAGAACGGACTTTAGAAAGTTGTCCTCTGACCTCCGTGCTCATGCCACAGCATGTGTGCACTGGCATGTGTGAGCACACGCAGACACACATGCATGGGAAAATGCAAAAATAAATGCATAAATAAGTAAATTAAATATCAAGTTTTTTTTAATGAAACCAATCATTGCCTGACCTCTAGAGATCTTGCATTCAGAAACATTTTTAATTTTATAAAATAATATTCTAAACTTTTTTCAATGAGAACATTGTGAAACGTGTAATTACTGTCAAAGTTTAAAATTTCAGCCTCAGGGAAGAAATGGTTGTGCTTTCTTCCCCTTTGTCTATACCATGTCTGTATCCGCCTCTCCCCTTATCAATAGGCAACATGAATGATTACTTATTTGAGTTCCAGTTCAGATATGACCTCTTCTATGAAGACATTCATGACCTTTGCAAAACAATGAATTCTTTATCTGTTATATTCAGAGAGCAGTTTGTACATAATCTGTGGTCCCCTGTAATACTGAATCACAGATATTTGTATAGATTCCATCAGCCCCTAACTATAATGTGTCATCTACATTTTTTGTCATCTGATTATTTTAGACTATGAGCATCTTGTGAACAGAAAAGGTATTTAATTTCATCTTTTCATCTACCTTAAATGATGTTTTCAAGTGTGTGCTTTAAATCGAACACCAATGACTATTTTCATCTTTTTCCACTACTGTGCTGGCCATAGATAAATGAAGAACTTTTCATAAGAGAATGTTCTTCCCAACTGCACTCTCCACAATACAGATTGTCCAAGTGTTTTAAAGTATATTTTTCTTTGTGTGTGTACTAATGGTTGAACCCAGAGCCTTGAATATGTTAAGTATATAAGCATAAAGTATATGCATGTGCTTTGTCATGGTTACCAGTACGTATCATCTTAATGTTCTCCATATAAAGAATTTATAACATGGCATAGTTAGATGAAATAACATATGTTAATATTAGTATACACACATTAGTAACACATTTAGCATATAGTCATTAACACTAGAATGCTTTGTGGAGAAGCCATTTTCTTGTGACAGTATTAAGGTGCTTCTCCATAGAAAGAAGGTTACAAAATATACATATTAGGCCAATAATTCTTGTTTTCGTACACGTCTTTCCTCCATCTTCCTCTATGGCAAAAATAAACAGTTCATTTCAACTAAGTTGATACAAAACTTTACATGGACACATTCAGTTGAAGGATTACAGAAAAGACACAAGCTTCTTGTGGCGAATCAGAAATGCCATCTCTCTCCTACCTGTGTTCCTAAGCTGGCTGCCATCATGTGAGTCAGAAGTTTGGCTGCGAACATGGAGTATCTGGCACAGAAGACATGGGAAACAACAGCCAAGCAAAGACCTGTAGGAGCAAAAAGAGCCCACATGAGGTTTCATAAGCCACGAAGAGATTACATGCACATAGGGAAGAAAAATCTCTGGGACAGTTAAGCACAAAAGGCCTGGCTATGCTGCATGATGCAAAACCTCAGGGAAAGAATACCTGCACTTTCAACATACTCCATCTTGCACGACATATACAGTCCTCATGGTTATCAATTAACATAAACAGTAACTTTAAATTTTAAAATATCTACAAGCTTACTGCCCTACTGAAAGAAATCCATAAATGAATCAGATTAGTAGTTTTAATAAGGACTTTATTTTCTATGCTCCCATGAGTCAACTTCAGTGTTTAAAGAAAATTTCATGATGGTCTATTCTAATTTTAAGTCTAATTTTCTAAGAATGAGTGATTTAGCTAAGTAGAGATATTTAGAAAGGTGGCTAAGACTTTCTAGGTGAAAAATTGAATGGTCCTATAAAAATTCAGGTTGGTAAATTACCCCTTTCATCTAATGGAAGTAGTTATATAATTACAGCAATGGTAATTATGAATTTTCAGACAACTTTCTGCTTCTACATGAAAAACCAGGAATAAAATGTTTTCTTTGTTTTCTTTCTCCCACAATGAATTTAAATATGAAGATTTAAATTTATATCTAGCACTATTATCTTTAAGTCTACTGGTCTACTATGAGATAAAGCCTTGCTGTGCAGCCAGGACTGTCCTTGAAGCTGGGATCCTCCTGCCTCTGCCTCCACCTCCCAAGTGCTAGGATTACAGACGTGCACCACTACATCAGATCTTAAGGGCAGAATATTTTTAGATGGTAATTTAAATAAAAGGTAACCATTATTTTGTTTGTTTGTGTGTTTGGCATTTTGAGACAGGGTCTCCCTGTGGCCTCCCTGGACTTTCACTTGCTTTGTAGACAAGGCTGGCCTCAATCTCACAGAGATCTACCTGCCTCTGCCTCCCGAGTGCTGGAACTAAAGGTGTGGACTACCACACCTGGCTACTTTTTCATTTAAGTCTTTTACCTCACATTTTTCATAGATTGGATGACTTTGTCTAGGAATTACTGAAGCCTTGCAAATAGTGACATGCACATACCACTTAGCTATGTGCTTTCTAGGCCTCATTTAATTATATCAATGCCACCTTGACAAACGAAACACTGTGCTCATTCAACATTTGTTCTCTTTCATTATATTTTCTGAGCTATGGATCAAGCTTTCTGAGTACATATGTTAGCATAAAAGGATTAAGCATCTACAAAAATGCCAAATGGGATCTTATGACTAGCTTTCAATTCATAAATGTCTCTCAGAACTCCTATTGGAAAATGAGTTCAATTATGTTTTTATATTTTAATAGAGTAGAAAAAAATTCCCTGTGGAGGGAGCCTTTACTGAACGAGGCTTTTAGTCTAGAAATTCTTCCAAGAAATCTGAAGCAATTCATGTTTAGGAAGACTGCCACGGCATGAGTCAGGCATGCAGATCTTACAGCTGCTTCCAAGACCCACCCACACAGGTGTGCTGCATTTCCTCAGAAATGCAGCCACGTCAAGCACTGCACCTTTACTGGTGATTCTATACTGCTGGAACTGCTGCTCAGAACTCACTGACAAATACTCTGAATTCTGTAGGATAATCACAACCTGCTTGAATTCATGGTTTAAGTTGAGTGTACACTTGTGTGTATAATATATTGACTTAAAAGCAGGGCTTAATTATAAGCCACCTGCTTTACTGAAAGTTTACTGTGGTGGGAGAGAACAGTGTAAAGTGAGGGGAAGGGTGTTGGCCAAGGGAGAAACACACAAGTTCACCGTTGTTCATATACTCAGCGCTTTCCCCTTAATTTGGTAATCAATTCATCATCATACTCCTGTTCTATCACATAAACTTAAGACAATTAAATGTGACCAGCTTGGTATTTAAGTAGGAGAAGCTGCTATTAAGATGCTACTGTGACACCTGGTGGCGGTCCAGGTGTCATAATTCAAAAACCAGAAGCAAGAAAATGGACTGGGTCAAATTACGTCTGTTTACTATGTCATGGTTATCTACTTTTTTTCTATTTTTATTGAATTGTTGTGCATTTCATACATCTTAATCATATCTAGACACTCTCATAGGCCCCATCTCCATCCCCATAGCACCCCAACAGATTTCATGCATTCTGTCATGTATGTTAAGGCCTATCAAGTCAAGTTTCTGTCCCCAGAAGACTCTCAGTGAGTTCATCCACTGGAGCCGGGTCAACCTATCTAGCATCACTCCCTTAAAGAAGGCCAACTCTCCCTCACCTGGCAGTGATTGGCTGCCCATTATCTAGTTCATTATTCAGAAGAATGCTGTTGAGAACTTCAAGTGGCCATGCTCTAAACTAGAGAAACCCATCTAGCTTTGGGTAGGATATCAAATACTTAGGGTTTGAAGAAATAAATATTTCATTTTTCAAGTTTCTAGACTACTACACACTAAGTATTTAATATTATATACTATTTTTAAGTTTAAGAAAGTAACTAGTTCTCATTCTGAAAAATAAGTGATTATTTTTAGCATATATACTTTAACTTTACAAGAGAATATTTTTAATTTGTCTTTAATTTAAATTCCTTAATATAAATATTCAAATCACAAAGCATAAACTGTATAACCATAAATGAAATTTCTAAAATAAAGTATAACAAACTGTAACAGCCAAATATATTACCTACGTATGAACTCAACAGTCTTTAAAAATGGATTTCTTAACAATTTTGTAGAGAAACAATCTGCTAGTTGAGTTATATATTTCCTTTCTGATTTGCCTATATGAATTACAAATTAAGCTGAGAGAGGAACTTCGCTTAATTCAGTGACAAAATGACTTTTCTACATTATCTAAAAGAGAGAAGGAAGACAAATTGCCCTTTACAAATAATAACTTCGAGGTTATATGATTTAGTTAAGGAAAGCTCTGAAGAACAGTTGTATTCTTTGCTACTATAAGACTTGACTAAAGATTGTATTCACATATAGGATGTTGGAGTATTTATATAAATATAAATATTTGCAATGTTTGTATATGAATAAACATCTCTATTTGGCATAATTTACAGGAGGGAAGTGCAGTTCCATAACTGAGGTTTAGCCCTCCACAAGACAAATGTAAGTACATTTTCTCACAAATTTTTCTTTTAAAATGTTTATAAATTGTGCATCTTTCATGTGTCAATCGGTATAGCTATAGCTGCCGCCTCTGTAATAAATCCAAATAAAATCAGCTTATTGGCAAGCATTATTAAGTCACATACTAGCTTCTTGGCTTAATTTTTTTACCTTCCCACCTCATGCTATCTGTGATTGTTAGTTTTTCTACTTTTTTGTTGCATATCACTATTGCTTCCAGATTTCTGTACCTTCTCCCTCATACAATGAATGCCATTTGGTTAGTGCTACTCATGAGCTAAGGGTAAAAATAAAAACCAGTCAACCCTGAAAAGATTTCTCATAGGAACAAAAGTCAGTAGAAAGCACTGCATAGCACTTCACTGTGTGTGTTAGGGGTGAGTACATAGTCCAGAGGGACGAGGTTGCCAAAGGGACAAGCTTCGATAATTAAGGGGCTAAACCCGAGCACAATGCCACAGTCATAGGAGGCTACTTAAATTTAAGGGTGCATGAGTTAAAAAGAAATGGGACTTTGAATGCAGTCATATTTCAAGGACTCACGAACCACCTGTGGCCAGTAGATGCTGAATTAGACAGCATAAAGCAGTTCCATCATCACAGAGTCCAACTGCAGAGTTCTGTCAACCCACTCTGGGAAATGAGACTATGCCATATTTTGGAAGAATTTGTATTGAAATGCCTAAGATAATATGGTTTGTCCGCAGAAATCTGACACATAGCAGAAATACATCAAATCTGATCCATAATGCATTATTACTCATTTCTTTAGTAACAAACAGGTATTAAAACTACTACATGTCAGGTACTATGTACAACAAAACTCAAAATGGATACTCACTGCTTTTCCAGTGATCTACTCTGTGATCTACTCTGGCTAAAAAACAAAAAGTTGGCTCCGATTTAATGTTTATTACACTCAGAAAAAGAACTAATGAACTGTTAGCAAATTCAGTGATAAACTCTTTGTCCTGACCCAAACTAGAGATTATATGTAAGACACAAAAATTCATCTTTTCTGATTCCTGGAGGCCCATCACAGAGGTGTGTTTTGGTTTTCTCATGAAGAGGAAACTGAGGCACAAAGATGGGACATTATGGGTCCTTACTGACAGAACATGAGATTACAAAATAATATCCTGAACAAAGAGGAAATAAAATGATAACTACTAAGAACTGAAATTGATCCCACCAAAGATAATAAATGTGTACACTGGCAGTTAGGTACTGAGTCTCAAATACATGAGCAGGTCAGCCTTGCCTTTTCTAGACTGCTATAGACCTGTTATCAATTCTCCTAGGAAAAGCCCCATAACTCTACTAATTCTACATAAAATCAGGGTAACATCACTCTTTAGTTTTAAAAAGTTTTTGTCTTGATGCTCAATATTTGTACAAAGTCAAGGATTTTTGTGGGTCATAGGAACATTTGAATTTGTTTGTAAAAAGATGTAAAATGACATCTAGATTTTTATTTCAACACTGTAAATTTTTATTTCACTGTTCTATGAAATTTATTTGCTCATAAAATATGCTGCCATTTAAGTAAAATAGGAAGTCTCCATTTGATTTTGGAACTATAGGAGCCTAGAGAATCTAGGTCAGAAATGTCACCTTTTATGAAAGACAGTATTAACTACAAGAAATTCTTACCTTTATCTATTGAATTTAAGTTAGATACATAATTCAGAAACCTTAAGAAAAATTTATAACTATACAAAATTAAATCATATTATAAATATTTTAGCAATCAGAACAAAGATTAGTAATTAACTGCTTGAATATCTCTCCAAAAACATTTCCTAATGGATAATTGTTAGGGAATTTTTAAAACAATACAGTAAAAAAGATACGCCCTCAATAATAATAATCGCATTTATAGACAAAACATGATTAAAGCAAAACATTAGATGTATGTGAGTTAATATATCTGCCACCCTGTGATGCAGTTATTGTTTGTAATCATATATTGGGGGGTAGGAGAGCTGACACATAAAACCTGTAATTTACTCACATCCCAACAACCAGTGAATGACAGAATCAGGACTTGAACTAAGGCAATCTGAATACAATTTTTATGTCTTTTATATTTTATTATTTTTTATTTTATTGTTTCTATGAGTGTATTGCTTGCATGTGTGTAAGTGCACCCATGTTGTGCAATGCCCACGAGGTCAGAGGAGGGCATCAGATCCCCTGGAACTGGAGGAATGGATGGCTGTTGGCCACCATGTGGGTTCTGGGAATCAAACCTAGATCCTCTGCAAGAGCCATATCTCTAGCCCCTACAATTTTTATGTTTATAATCATTATTGTATACCAAGTTATCTGTATAGCACATTCTTCATAGAAACAATTTCTAACATAGAGTTTAATATGTTTAGAGTCCCAAAGATGTAGACTGCCAATTAACCTATGGTGTAGGAATTATTTAAAAATAAAAAAACAAAATTATTTACATATATTGTTCCTCTAACTCCAGTATTCTAACTGTAGAACCTAACCTCTAGAGCACAACACACCATTAACCGTGCCCTTTCCTGCTATCTAGCCCCTATCCCACACCATATTCTATGTATTTTGTGGCTTGGAAATGTGTCTTGCCCTATACAGCACAAAATTGCACTCCCCCATGGCTGTTATATAAAATAATGAATAAAACAACAAGAAAATGATGAATTATAGTATTATATTTTATACACGCAAAAGAACTATGGAAGAGTTACATTCTCACATATTTAAAATTCTGAACTTGAGAATCCTGCCACTGACCTGAGATACATATAAATCCAGAAGAGAAAAAAGCTTCATTATATGATGACAGGTTGTCAGTCTGGGCATAGACAGCGTACACGGACATGTGTGAACAGGTACATTCCACGTAGTCTGAAGTGTCTTCAACCACTTTGCAAAACTGAGTGTCAGACAACCAGCTGGAGAAAATATAATAGTCACTATTCCTCTGTCACTAATGCTTCATATGTTGAGATTGTTTTCAAAAGAAAAGTATCTCACTGAATTCAAGTGTTCTTTATTCGGGACTTAAACAGAATACATTACTATCCAAAAGAAATACTGGTGGGAACATCTTGTCCGGGACAGCACTCAACAGATTCCATAAGATACCTTAAGAAAGTAAATAGCAATCAGCCCTGCCAGGTCATCACTGTACAAAGATGGGCTTCTCAGCAGAGCAGCATGTGTCCTCCTTAACAGAAGAAAACTCAACTTTTCTCTATCATTCAAAAATTCCAACAGGATCAACATAGTCAAAACATGCTTAGATCCAACCAGATCAACACAGCTGTGGCACCTATGCAACTCACCCTTCTTTGTGTTCTTCTAAGTCCTTGCATTTCTGAACCACATCACATTAATCACCTTTGTGCTTTTGTATGATTCCTTCCTCATTTTCTTTGTATTTTGGGTCACATATCCTAAACATGTTTTCCAAGGATCTTCAAATGTCTCCTGTGGTGATGTTTGCCTTATTCTGAGTCCATCGGTAACTGCTCCCTGACCCTTTCAGTGCATCTTGATTCTATTACCTTTCCAAGGACAAAAGTTCCTGATTCAAACTGCAGATTTCAGCTTGAAACATTCATTACTAATCATATACTGAGGATTACAGAGTATCTATGTAGTATTATTCTTTGACTTATGATGGGGGTATATTCCAAAAAACCCACTGAAAAATTTAAAAACTCTGTAAGTTGCAAATGTCTTTACTACATCTAACCTACTGAACACCAAGCTTAGTAACAGGGCACAGTGTGGCATCTGAGTTGTTTATCTCATGATCATGTGACTGATTAGGACCTATGGCTCACTGTCACTGCTCAGCACCATGAAAGAGCATCATAACACAAATTTCCAACATGGGAAAATATGAGAGCTCAAAACTGGAGTACTTTTAATCAAATATGCATCATGTTTGGATCAACTTCAAGAATAAAATGGTAAGTTGTACCATCATAAGTAGAGACCCACCTGAATTAGGTTTAAGATCCATCCTCAGGCATAAGGAATTGTGATTCAAAATATTACGTCACAGAGAAAGAGAAACTAACCAGAATTTTAATGTTTTAAAAGAGAGACGTGTGACCAAGCTACTAAACTTATTTGGAATTTTAGTATGTCTGGCTAAAATTTCACAATAAACAGAATCTAATGGATGGTTTGGGCTCCAAACCTCTCCCAATACTACCAGATCCTATAATACTGAGAGAGATTTGAGTAACAATAACTTAGTCAGAAACTTTAGACCATAGGCTAAAGGGATTCAATGACAGAATCACCCTCTCATTTCCAATGCTGTATTTGTGGTTAATCCCAAAACGTGCTTCAAGCTATTCCTGAAGAACTATAAACTCTGCTGATCCCTCTAAACAAAAAGCCTCAGTTCCTGAACCACAGGCAGCAGGGGTAAAATAAGGAATTTCTTTTCTTACCCAACAAATTAACTGTTAACTTCAGTTATCTGACCTGAGCAGAACTCATGATAGAGCCCATGAAAATAGAAATGATCAAGGAAAGTAACATGCCACACACACAGTTCAATTGCCAGCTCCATTTCCTACCTCACTGATGCTATTTCCTTCACAGATCCATCTTATTTACTATAGAGATGGTTCTCCAGTCTGAAAGCCTCTCCTGGGGCCACCATCTACACTCAGTACCAAAAAATTAATAGGTTCCATGGTTCTAGAAGAGGGAAACACCAAATGCTGATCTCAGAACTATCAATAGGTACCTTGTAGCAGCCTGATTCCAAAGGAGACACAGAGATGTATGAGGAACAATTCTGGGCTTGGCAGCATAAATTCTGTAGAGTACCTCATTGTTGTTAGGAAGGGGTTGTGAACTCTGACCTTTCACATTCAAAGACAACACCTATAATGTCAAAAGACATAAAAATTTTAATTAGCATTTTCCATGTCATAATCAAGTCTCACATCTGAGCTGGGCTTCATTTTTCTAATACCCATAGTCATGTTTTCTTCAGCATCACTAGCTGGCTCATTTATGAAGGCAGGATCTGACCAGCTTTCCACAGTGCCCATTCACCCTCTGCTTCACTCACTTCAGTCTTCAGCAGACAGCACTCCTACAACTATGACTGGCAGGCTTCATTAAGAGTTAGGTATATGAGAGGTTGGACAGATGGCTCAACAGTTAAGAGCACTGGCTGTTCTGCAGAGGACCTGGGTTCCCAGCACCCACATGGCAGCTCACAATCATCTGTACCTCCAGTTCCAAGAGCTCCAATGCCCTTTTCTAACACCCATAGGCATTGCATGACATGGGTACACTTTCATACATGCAGACAATATACTCATATTCATAAAAAAATAAATTATATTTTAAAAAGTGGGTATATGATAAGACATAATATTTGACAAAGCTACATTTTTATACTTTGTCCATATATATATTGACCCAATAAAACATGAAGAAAACATTCCCAACACTTTTAAACCCAAACATTCTGCAAATGGTTCACAAAGGTGGAATACTTTTTCATATCATTCTACCTTATAGGACTTGGCAAAAACCAGTTGAGCAAATGCATCCTAAGTTTGTCTCCAAAAGGAAAAATCGGATCACTTTTTTTTTATTTTTTCGGTCTTTTCGAGACAGGGTCTCCCTGTAGCCCTGGCTGTCCTGGTTTCACTATGGAAACCAGGCTAGCCTCGAACTCACAGAGATCCACCTGCCTCTGCCTCTGCCTCTGCCTCTGCCTCTGCCTCTGCCTCTGCCTCTGCCTCTGCCTCTGCCTCTGCCTCCCAAGTGCTGGGATTAAAGGCGTGCGCCATCATGCCCAGCCCACATATTTTTTTAAAATGACAATTACCTTGTTTTTCAGGGCAAGGAAGTTGTTTCTGGTCACAAACCACTGCTGGCTGCTGTACTCTATAAACTGAACAAATCTGCATGTGCTTTTCGCATCCACTATTTCTGCATCTGGAACATCCAATAACCTTTCAGGAATTCGAATATAGTCACCCTCTTTTCCTTCGAACTTGTGTCCATTGATTTGCTGAGAGTACCAGTGAAGAGCCAGTATTGACAAATATGGGCAACTGTCAAGGATGGTTTTGCTTCTACAATAGAATAACAAGAGTCTGCTGAACAGGCATGTATTTGCATCTGTAATTCCACTTCTGTTTAATGCACTACTTTGGGACTTTGTTTTTCATGTGTAAAAATGACACTACCAACCAAGAACACTAGATACAACCTTCTTTCTGTTTGTTTGGGTTTTTATGGTTAACTCTTTCTGCATTCTCTTACCTGATCTTCCTTGACTCCTGATACGGTTTCGGAAAGATGTTACATGGATATCAAGATACAATATGTGGCTATAAAATGTACTTTTCTGTGTTAGTCACAGGCTGCAGTGGAACAGGCTTAGGAATGGGTATTCCCAAGAAAGTGAAGCCCTCTGTTTTATTTAAGATCACAGACCACATATATCTATGGGTTTTCATCTAGAATGTGCCTCATGCCTTTCTAACACATTAGAGTCTTGAGTAGAGTGCTATTTATTCCTTTAACATTTCTACTTTTTATACCTCATAAGAATAATAAGATTCTATACTCAGTGAAATTGCTTTCAAACCTCAGTGTGAATTGAAATCATGTGGACCTGGTTTAAAACATAGTTTACACTCCAGACTAAGGCAAGATCCTCACACAGAGAATGTTTGTGGTTCTAAGAGTTTGAATCTGTAATCATTCTCCCTGATCATTTGTAGCAAGCTATTCCTGGATTCATCATCTTTGCAAACAATGAACAGATACAAAGATAAATCAGTTTTGAAATCTGCCATAAAAGTATAGAGAATATTAGAATCCTATGGGAAGATGCGTGTGTCCAACGTTAAAAGTTCTATCAGTCACAATGGATATAGAATATGTAGTTAGATCATGAATCAAAATGATACCTTGTCAAGATCTATAGCCAGAGAAATGGAACACAGAATTTTTAATGAAAGGTATAAGTAAAGGCAGAGTAAAGCAATTTTTTTCCTCTAGCTATACATCCTCTCTAACGTTTCTTCCACAGCTTAAAATTACTGCCTTTAAGCTGGTGAGTGACTCACAGAATCTACCTTTAGCTCACCCATTTATCCAGGATGCTAGATCTTTAGGTCAAGCTTTCTATGTAAACACCTAAATTTGTATGAGTCATACACACCTCAACAGCTTGTCAAAACTCATTTCTTAATCTCCCCTACTCAGCCTGCCATACCAATCATTATTATCTCCCAGGCTAAAAACTGCCTCTACACAACGCTGACCAGGCATAAAGCAGCAAACATCAGTGGATTTTGACCACATAGATTAACAACTCTCTTTAATATCCTCACTTTCAAGCTACTGAGATTCGGCCCAATCAGAACCACCAAGGCTTCTGCTACTTTACAAACCAAGAGCATACGCAATGGCTCAATACGACACTGACACATGCTTGCCAAACTTTTGGCTATTAATTGCTGATAACCAAACTCTCCCTGAAACCTTAACCTCTTATATCTAGGCCCTCCAAATGCACTCACCTTGATGAACAGAAGGGGAGTCAGGTTGATTTGTACCTCTTTGTAGTGGTATAGTGACCAACCTCAGTTGGCATTTTTATTTGGTTCCAAGTGACTGCCCTAAATGCCATCATTCTTAATATTCTTGCTCAATTCCCAAATACTTCACTCTCAACAAATGTATTGGTTATTAATATAATGTACAGATAATATATAGCAGAATGTGTGACATCTTTAGAGATCCTCAGTGAAGCAAAGCAAATATTATCATTTATCTTCTATGTTCAGTTTATTACTATCATGAGCCTCTATCATCTAATGATCTTAAAGGTTCCACACTTCCACATCGCTGCCTGAAATCTGTCCTTCATCTTAACTATTATCCTCTATAGTCTCCCTATTCCTTGTTTTCTTCTGTTCCTTAGCACTCTGCTCAGCATGATGCCTCTAAAACACTAACTCTAACACACACACAAACACACATAGTGAGAAGAGAGAGAGAGAACCTAGTTTACTGTATGTTGAACTTTCTTTGAAAAAGCAAACTAATGATCTTTCCAAACACATCATGCTGTTTCTTGATTATTTCCATTTAATATGATGTTTCCTCTTCTTGGATAACTCAAAAGGAAAATGAAGTCTATTGAGAGGAAGCACGTTGTAGAAAACATTGATTCATTGATAATCTACTATGTACCATATAGTGTGCTAGGCTCTGGGAACACTTTAGGCATTAAATCAGAAAAGTCCATTTGTTTGTGCATTTCATGACTTCTCTGAGTTTTCCCTGGGCCTTTAAGGATATGGCACAGGACTCTGCATTTTCAGGTAGGTAGGTAGATAGATGGTTCACATTTAAGAAAACACTGGTACTTCAGTGATCTTGAAGAAATGTGAATAACCAATGGAAAAGAATGGGACCGGGGATAATGAAGTGTTATTGTTTAATTTCACTGAACAGTACAGTTGAATATAATTCAAGAAGGAAAAAATGGCAGGTATTTTCTCTCTCTGTCTCTCCGTCTCTCTGTCTCCGTCTCTCTCTCTCTCTCTCTCTCTCTCTCTCTCTCTCTTTCTCTCTGTCTGTCTGTCTCCTGCCCTTTCAGGTCTCTCTCTATAGCTCAAACAACAGACCCATGCCAGAGGTTTCTGTAGCCAGTGGTAGAGACACAAAGAAGGGGTGAAATGGACACCATTTGTCTCAGGTGAGGACTAAAGAGGGGACTTCCTAGAAGAGACTCCTGTGAGCTTTTTCTGATCCTTGATGATTTTTGCACTAGGAAAAGAGCAGTTCCGGGATGCACTTAGCAGGTTTAAAGAAGGAGTGCAGTACAAAGAAATACGGGCTCTGTATTTTAACCTCATCACACGTGCTATGGATCTTGTGAAAGTCTGGGCTGTGAAATTGGTTTTGTTGCAATCTTCTGATCACATAGAGTGGTGGCCTCGAGGGGTGGCCTGGGGGAGTCAAGCAGGCCTATGATTGAGTGTGAGACTCACCATGAACTAACTACTCATATGAACCTTATCAAGGTAAGCAGGACCCCTAGCCTCAGTTTGCATCTATAAACAGGAACAGTAAGTGCCTAAGTCTAACTTTGAATAGATACCTAAAGTGATCATTTGCAAAGTATACATACACTAGACATACAACCTGTATGAAGGATTAAGCTGAGTCATATAAAATTTTCAGTATTGAAATGTTTCGATCGGAGACTGGAGAGATGGCTCAGCAGTTATAAGCACTGGCTGTTCTTGCATAGGACCCAAGTTCAGTTCCTAGTACCCACATGGTGGCAAAAAACCACCCATAATTCCAGTTCCAGGAGATCTGATGCCTTCTTCTGACATCCATGGGCATTGCATGACCCAGGTGCACTTACATGCAGGCAATACACTCATACACATAAAATAAAAATATTTTTTAAAAATAGAAAATAAAATGTTTCTACCTATAAAATATCCATCTGTATCATTCAATTTAATACAGTCAGGATTATAGCAAAATTATAGTTAATATGTCTTCTTATTTTATACCCTGATTTCTGTCTTATAATCTTTTTACACCTACATTTACTATTTGAACTTTCTGGGTTCTATAACCAAAGAACTACCGTGAAAAGCTTTATGCATCCAACTGATTTTGTTACTTTGACAGAATTCATAAAGCCTCAAAAATAAGATATTTAAATTATCACAGAAGAGTTTTAAATGTGCTCTCTGAAATGACTTCGAATTTCAAAGTAATTTAATAAACACTGACGAGGATATTGAGAATAAGTTATAAAATTAATAAAGTTTTACATAACTATTCTTAATCGAATGCCTATTAAATAATCAAACAATATTTATTGTTTATAGATAGTATATGTTGACAATATGAAAATCAAGAATTTTAATTTCGTTTCATGCTCTATTATTAGTGATTTTTTATGTTGTCAAAAGAAAACATTTTCAGTTGTTTGGGTTACAATAATCCAATTTAGATTATGAATGTAATTTGCATACCACTGTGCCTAAAAATATTAACATACGGCTTAAACAATTATATAATTAACAATGACTATGAGCCACATTTTGTTTCCTCCTCCTCTTGACACCTTCCTGCTATGGACCACAAGCCACAAAACAGCCTCAAGTTCAGTAGCATTTTAAGAGCAAGCTCCGAGTAGAATAAACAATGTGGACTCTAGGTGGAGCCTGAGTCACAGTGCATCACAGCACCACTAAGGCTGGAATCAGCTTCCTTTTTCCTCTTCAAAATGTGTCTTCCACTCATTAAATACAAGTTAAGAGCAGGAAAGATGATTTCTTGTTTTATTTTAAAATACTCTGAGATAAGAGGACTATACTGCTGATGGTACATGTTTATTTTTCTTGCATAGCTGTTTTCTTCTAACAATTAGATTCATTTGCTAACAGGTAGAAGCACTGACCATGTGCTTCTTCCTATCATTCTAGTGTCCACTCATATCACATGATGCTTCATAAACAGGGAGGAAACACACGTTGGCACTGCTAATTTCACAAAATACGTACTTTTCACCCAGAGAGCCACAGGTAACATCAGTCAGCAGAGAAAAGGCAAAATGCTCAGTCACTTCAGTTAAGTGGCTGAATCCTCTTGTGTCCTTGCGTTTGGGGTTAATTAGTGCACAAAGAATCTCATACAAAAGAGTTCGGCTTTCAATACTGAAAGCCTGATTTTTTCCTTCAGTAGTTATCTGAAAGAAAAAAATCTAAATATTAAAATATATTCAACAGTAAAGTTCTTAAATTATATAATATATACCATGTAAGTTAATAATTGTTAACATTGACAAAATAAAGATGGACTATGAAGAACTGAGGAGAAAACGGTATCAAAAGTATATTTAAAATACAACCATCTATACTTCAAAGGTATAGATGATCATTTAAAAAGAAAAAGGATCATCGCTAAACTACTATTTAATCATTGATTAAAGTTCCAAGTGGTCACAGACATCATTTAATTTAACAATAATTAACATCATGAATTAAACTGCAATTTTATATCTATGCCAAGAACTCATAATTCCCTTGACCAACAAATAAGGAAGTAAATATCTCAAGAATATTTGTTTACAACAGAAACAAAATTATTTTAATCTCTTTCAATGAACGAACAATGACCACAGTACATCACTAAATTGTTAAAGAACCAAATGAGAAAATTCTTTGTTATCAAATGTTCCAGACATCCTGGTACATGGAGGAGGTTTTTTTTGGGGGGGAGGGTTGTCTGTTTGTTTGTTGCTGTTTGTTTTTTGTCACAGCCTCAGCTGGCCTGGAGCTCACTATGTAGACCAGGCTAGCCTCAAACTCACAGAGATTCATCTGTCTCTGCTTAAAGAGTAGTGGGATTGGGCTAGAGAGATGGCTCAGCAGTTAAGAGCACTGACTCCTCTTGCAGAGGACCTGGGTTCGATTCCCAGCACCCACATGATGGCTATGAACCATCCTTAACTCCAGTTCCAGGGGAATCTGAAGCCCTCTTCTGACCTCCACAGCATTGCACGACGCAGGTGCACTCACATACATGCAGGCAATACACTCATATACATAAAATAAAAATAACAAATAAAATATTTTTAAATTTATTTTTTAAAAAGTAGTGGGATTAAACATATGCACTGCCATGCCCAGCTTTATACTGCATTTTTTTCCTATGAACTACTTACATAAAGGATTGTGTTACTTATTGTTTGATGAACAAGGAGATTATTATGTCTTGATATTCTAATATTTGGCAAATCCCAAACTCTAAGATCATCAGTTTATGGTTCCTGAACTGTGCCTCTACCCACATATTACCACTCTCTATAATGCCCCTGCCCAGACAATACCACTCTCTGTAATGCCCCTGCCACACACTTTACCATTCTCTATAACTTGCATGCATCATTATTAATAAATTTATGCTAGCTTGAAATGATTCACTGTTTTCTCCTAGTAGTTGAGTTCAGTGTGGAACTGGATAATGCTACCCTATTTTTAAATATTTTATTTATTATCTTTATTTTATATGTTTGAGGGTATTTCCTGCATGTATGTAAGCGCATCCATATCATGAAATGCCCACAGGGGTCAGAAGAGGGCATTGGATCCTCTGGAACTGGAGTTACAGATGGTTGTTAGCTGCCATGTGGGCACTGGGAATTGAACCTAGGTCCTCTACAAAAGCATTCAAGTGCTCTTAATTGCTGAGCCATCTCTCCAGTTCCATTATCCCTAATTTTTTAATCACTTTGTAATCTACTAGTTTTAAACTCACATAGAAATTCAAGATCTGACCTTATAAGACTACCTGTCCTAAAGATAGGAGAGCAGCCCACAAAGAAAATGTGACAAAAGGACAGAACACTGAGTTAGTAACGTGAAGGTTACAAACGAACAGAGACCAGCCCACGGACACAGAAGCAAGGAGACTGAGTCAGACCAATGGGAAACAGGCTCAAGAACATCTTCCAGAACTGAGAGAAAATGAAACAAACAAATCGGACAAATCTTAGGGTAAATCCCCAAGATCCAAAAACATAAAACAGCAGGTAGAAGAAAAATAACATCATTAATAAGCTACATAAATATTCATTTTTAAAGATAGAGACTGCTTTATATCAGAGAAAATTCAGAAAAGGAACAATACCAGATATAACTGGTAATATGTAAAATGTTACTTCAAGTGCTAAAAAAAATGAAGCAAAAAATAAACAAGAATAAGTAACTGTGGAAAAAACTCACGGTAAATTATTGACAGTAGGCATTTATGAGAGGGAAATGTCAGAAGAGCAGTATGTATAGAAGTTTAAGAATTGAAAGTTTATATCCAAGAATTCGACAGCTATTTAAACTTTTACTCATGCTCAAGGGAAACAAAATATTTATTAAAATAAGGTACACAAAAATAAAACCACAATCATTCCTATAATACTGGTTAGTACAGACACATTGTTCTCAGCCCACCTTACTGTAATTTCCCTGATCTCAAGAGTCCTGTGGGGAAGGCCTTACTGTTATTTTTGCTTTTCAACTTGCAGGTTGAACCAAGGTAGTAAGAGGATAAACAGCCTGGCACAAGCTTGGGTCAAGCCCAAGACAGGCTGCCACCAGCCACCTACACCCACTTGCAACATCCCCTGCTTGCTTCTCAAATATAACAGCACAACTTGAACTAGTTCATTGACCACGCAGTAAAACACTAAGTGAACCACTGTTAGCATGACCATAAAATCAATCACATGTAGAAATAATTATGGTGTAAGATACCTAATATTAAAAGCATGTGATAAAAACAAATAGTCTGGTTCTAAAAAGCCATTTTATATAAGCAACTAAAAAATCCCAAGTTATCAAAATTCATTTACAAATCAGTAGAAGACCTGAAGTACACATGGGAAAACATGAAGAAGTTGCCAGGATAGAAAACTGAAATGGAAGGCAGCTTTGGAAGTCGGGGAGTCATCTATCAGACTCCAGAAGACAAGCAATATCTATGCCCTTACAGTTTCAGAACACAAAACTAGACCTCCTGACTCAAGTTGTACCAAGCTTTAATAACCCAGAAAATAAACCTGATGAGATTAAAAATTAGAATATCAAATCCAGCAGGGTTTCCGAGTTTAATATTGTTAATAAGGCAACTGATAGTTTTAGAAGTAATCTGGGTTGTTTCCTGCTGGGGAAAACCAGGGGACAGAATATTGTTATGCCAAAGACTGTCTGAATCCACAGATGGATTTTATCCAGAAAATCTTTATAGTATTTTAAAACTGCTATACTTTTTTGGACAAAATTGTTTCATCTCAACAAAAATAAGTAGCTACTTCTAGTGTGAAAAATTTCCAGCTAAGATTTCTTGAGATCTTCAGACAAAGAAGTGTATTTTGTAGGACAGATACATTATCAAAGAACTTAGAACCTGGGGGAAAATAAAACTTGCAAATACCAAATATATTTACTTAAAATATAAGGTTTTATAAAGTTCTGTCCAGTATATGGAAGTTTTAGACTGTCTTTCTGAAGTTGAGGCTAGAGTATATATTAATTTTATATAATATATTTGAATGATTATGGGACAAACTATAGCTGGCTCTATTTGAATTTCATATAACAAACAATAACTTTTTGCTAAAAGGGAATCTCAAGGATTAATGATATATTTACATTTAACATGAGTAGCTTATCTGAAATTCATACTTAACTAAGCACCCTTCATTTTTGTTTGCTAAATGTCACAATCTTATTTACATGTGATTATTTATACTTCAGTGCTTGTTTGATTATTCTTTTATTCTCTTTATATAACTATATATAAATGCTTTAGGCATATAGTCATGAATCACTTTTTGAAAGGGATACATTCTAGGGCTATAGAGATGGCTCAGCAGTAAGAGCACTGGCTGTTCTTGCAGAGGACCTGGGTTCGATTCCCAGTACTCACATAGAAGCTAACAACCATCCACAACTGCAGCTTCAAGGGATCCAATGCTGTCTTCTGTGCTCTGTAGGCACTGCATGATACCAGTGCACTTACACACATGCAGGTAATACACTCATACACATGAAATAAAAATAATTTTAAAAAGGGATACAGTCTGATTTCAGTATCACGTGGACCACACCGGATGCTCACACAAACCTCCACAGTGTAGCCTCTATGCACCAGGCTATGTAATACTGTCCCTTCCAAGCTAAAATCTGCACAGCTTGTTACTGTATTAAATACTGAAGGTGACCACAACACAATGGCATTCATGTATCTAAACACAAAAAAGGTACCGCAAAAATACTAGCCAATAGCATTTTTTTCAGGCTCATTTTGACACTGTGGGACCACTATTTTATAGGCAATTCACTGTGGCTCCTGATTGTATTCAAAGATACACCAGAATTTATTTAACTAAGCCTCACTTTAATGGCTATTTTTTCCAATTTGTTATTATAATAACACTGAAATAAACCTTCCTGTGACACATACATTTACACAAATGTCCCTCCCTCTACCTATTTGTTTGGGGTTTTTTTTTTTTTTTTTTTTTTTTTTTTTTTTTTTTTATTTGAGACAGGGTCTCTCTGTAGCCCCAGGTGGCCTGGAACTCACTATGTAGACCAGGTTAGCCTTGAACTCACAGAGATCCATATGCCTCTGCCTCTGCCTCTGCCTCTGCCTCCCAAGTGCTGGGATTAAAGATGTGCACCACCATGCCCAGCCTATTTGTTATTCTTAAACACTCATTAAGTATTCACCATGAGCAAACTGTTAGAAGTCGTGACTCAAGAATTCTAGAGTTACCCAAAATTTTAACCAGTCCAAGGGAATTGTTTATTTTAGCAAAGCACATCAATAGTCAAAACAAAATAACCATGAAATACTATTGGACTAGGTGACAATTTTAAGTAAGAGTTGAATTACAGGCATGTACCACCAACACTGGCTTAGGTATTGATTCTGTTTTAGACATAGTCTCATCACTACATAGCCTAGGCTAGCTTTGAACTGCTGATCCACCTGCCTCTACTCTACAGTGTTGGATCATGGGCCTATACCACCACACTTGACTTTAATCATTGGTTCTTCAACCAATAGCAAAAGGCTTTAATGTATAACTTATTGAAGAAAAAATATAGCTGAATTTCCTTCTATTTTCTATAAAATATTTGAAATTAAGTTCTCCTTTCTACTCCAAAATGTAGTTAGTGTGCATGCTGTTAAGGTTCAGATAGCCCCACCCCCTCACCAATGGGGTCGCATGGACTTCTCAAGCTCCTGAGAAAAGGGAACCAAGCTGATAAGCACCCTGGTCTTTGAAGTCAAGAGAAGCAGACTTTTCTCCACTGTTAGGCCAACACAGCAGGCTTCCCCTTTGACCTCTAAAGAGGACAAGTTTTAACAGTTCTGCTCTCCCATCAACCCTCCTCCCCACCAACTTTAAAAAAAAAAAAAAAAAACATCTTCCCACCCTCTGCAGGAAGCAGAAGCCTCCCCCTTTAAAAAGACCCATGGTCAAGACCCAGGCAGACATTTTCCCTCCCCAGAAGGGAATTTGTCCCATGTGTTCCTTTGCTAATAAACTCTATTCTGATGGAGTTTTATCTGTGTCCTGGTGCTTTCTCCTGATCAACTGGATTCATCCTATTTTTACCTATCACATGCTTTCTCTATTCTTGTTCAAAATCAGTTTGCTATTGTTCATGCCATTTTATGATTAGAAAATTTAAGTAACACTATTTCTTGACGTGAACTCTATTATTTTTTCTTTGTCTTTTTGAGACAGCGTCTCCCTGTAGCACCAGTTGACCTGAAACTCACTATGTAGACCAGGCTGGCCTTGATCTCACAGAGATCTGCCTGTCTCTGTCTCCCATGTACTGGAATTGAAGAGGTGCACCAACACATCCAGCTTTGAACTCTATCTTTAGATTGCTCGGTACCTGAAACAGTGGCCACTTCTCTGCGCTTTACAAGGGCTTGTCAGCGTCTTCTCACTGTATGCGCTTTATAATTTTCTAGTCTACACTTCAAGCATTGTGTTAAAGAAAAATAATAAGTAAAATAAGTATGATATTCTAAAACCCCACTGCAAACATTTTAAACAATTAAAGATCACTATGTCAGAAACAAAGTACTAGTAAATTCCTATGTATGTACTCAGAACTTTATGCTTGTATGTAAATCTTCTGAATAAATTCCATAGATAAGAAAGCTTAAAATAAGCTATAAAAATCATTTCTTTTAGTAATAATATTTTAGGTATTTTTTGTTTGTAATCTTAAACTCTTATGCTTTTACATAGTTTGCAGAAGTGTAAATAAATAAATGGACTTAAATAAGACCTGACTGGTCAAAGTCGATGCCAAACTGAATGCCTAAAATTATTTGGTCATTCCTTAGCCTTCCTTTTCTGTGAACATTTTTAGGGCCTAGGAAGAGCAAAAAAACAAAGGGTGACTGCTCATGTTTCATATATAAAAAAAACTATGCAGATTATAATCCAGTCCAAGTTTTTTTATGAACTCAAAACACTAACAATCAAACAGCAAAGATACTGGTCTCTGTAGTGTCAGAAAGGGCCTGTACCTTCTAGTATCTGATGCTTTTTCAAACTCTGGCTAGATTATTTCTGCACCAGCCTACTCATTGTTCACTAAATTTAAGAGCAAGGATGTCAAACAGGCCTCAGTCACATACAATCAAAAGTACAGTATCAGATACTAAGAATTCCACTCTTGTGTTCAGAAAAGTTTATCCTAATTTCAGAGTACTTGCCAATACAACGAATGTGGTGCTCATTTTGATTTGACACTATGAAATTTACTATACTAGGTGCTTACATTTGCAAGGACTTCCTACCTTTTCTATTAAGTGCACCACAGCACTGAGTTGTTCATCAGTGTTCTCTGTGGCTACTTTCATGTTGATGTTATGGAGCACTCTGTTGAGAATTTCTTCATCCAGGGGCTGATGCAGTTGATCTGCAAGCCCCCAAATAGCTTGTGAATCTGCATCAGAGACAAGAGTGATGTTGGCAATCCCATATACTTTGTCAATTCTGGCACCACCTTTTGGGTCAAAAAGCACAATCTGAAAACGTTTGGGAAATGGATTTAAAGACCCTGTCTCTGGTGTTAAGATGATGTCCAACACAGCATTTCTCTGGCCAGGTTCAAAGACCAGTGTGCCTTCAGTGCTCACAAAATCCTTTCCAGAAACAGCTGGAGATATGACCGTGCGACCAATTGTTTCAGCACTCCTCAACTCCTAAAAATTAAACAATAACATTCAAGTGAGACTGTCATGCTTTGATCTTAACCAAAACAAATTCTTATTTCTTAAACAAATTCCCCTTCTGTTCAATAAACGGAGAGGCAGTAAGCACAGAGCTACTGAAACATGGGGCTTGTACTTTTTCTAATTACCTTCAATAAGTCACAGAGACGATGAGTTTAGGAAACAGATGCTTTGCAAAGAATGAATCAAGGAAAAGAACTAGAAAAGAAATGGCAGTGTTGCCTCAAAACAATTCTATAATTATGAACACACTAAACATGATGCTTTAGATTCCACATGCTGAAAAATTTAAGTATGGCAGGGGAAGAGGGGCTTACTCATTTACTCTCACCTAAAAATTTAGGGAAGAGGCAGGTAGGAAGGCTGAGGCTCTTAATAAACATCTCTTTTTTTCAAATTATGGTTTTTACAAAGATTTTGGAAAGTCAAGGACAAATACTGACCTAAAGAAAAAACAAAGCAGCGTGCCTTTACTTACTACTGGACTAGTAACTGTGAAAGTCCTCCAACACATGGTATACTGCAGACACAGAATTGAAGAGCAGAATGTCTGCACTCCCAGAACCCGTGATTCTGGCACAGGATACAGACAGTATGAGGTTAAAAAATTTAATGTTGCTACACGGAGTTCTATGAAGGAAAATAAGTAGAGATGCAAGGCAGAAAGGGTACAATTATAGACCATGCTGGCCATGGAAGCTCTGATGTGATGTCTGAACATCCATGAAATAAAGCACATCCAGAGACTTCCATGAAATAAAGCACAGCCCATACAATAAACTCAAAAGAAGGATGTTAGATCTAAGGAGAAATATTCAAGGTGGTAACAATAGCAATAAAAAGGCCCTGCAGTAAGGACCATCTTAGCAGATGGTAGGATGAATCAGAAGGCCAGAATGACTGGAGGGAGGATGCTGGAGGCTGGTAAGAGAGGAGCAAGGGGTCACAGAATGCATGGCCATCATTTTGAAATGTGGAAGAAAAACAGAAGGATTCAAGCAGAAGAGTGACCATTTTTATTCAGTATTGCCATGAACACACTGGAGAAAGTGTATACTAAGCTATAGTGGGGCTAAATGCAGACAGAGGAAGAAGAGACCAGAGATTCTGAGAGTTCGTTCAGTAAATATTGATAGCCTGTTTCAAGGTCACATGAGTAGACAAGGTGCAAATACAGACTAGGAACATACTACAGAGTTAGCAGTATCTTCTGATGAACCCAGTGTAGGATGAGAGGAAAATGAGACCTGAGACAACATCTAACTGCTGGCCTGGATGGATTAGTTACTGCATGGGTGTGGGAAACCAGGGGAGGGAGTTATTCATTACACATATGCAGTCTGACATGTCTCTTAGACATTCTATTGAAGATGCCAACTTAAAACAACCAGATTCACAAGGGAATTCAGGTTGTCTGCTAAGTTAGGATGTACAGATGTGACAGTACCTACAGTGGTCTCTCAAATTCTTTTTGGGTGGAGATCTGTTTAATTGGAGCAAAACTAGAATAAGTGATATTTTAATTATTTCAAGTAATAGTGATGAGGAATTCCTTAACTGTATCGCAAAATTTACAGGTGACAAAATTTGGTATTTGTATACATGGGAATGTATGTTATAGTGATTGGTTTAACTACATTGCTCTACCTAAAATGAAAATCAGTACTATTGGTCCGTAATTATTTTTACATTTTTTCAGCTCTTAGAAAATACAATTGTATGCTTTCATCATCTAATAACCTACCCACAATTCAGAAGGCAAGTAATTCAGAGGCAATGAAGCAATAGCAAAATAAAACACCACCAGAGAAGGGAAACTGTTATTTCTGATTTAAAAGAACATTTTGGGGTTTTGTACATTCACATGGAACATATAAACTGTATAAAAATAAATATCTCATGTACTATCTATTGAATATTTCTATTGAATATTGAATATTGACCTTGCAAAATTCTGATACATGCCAGGGTCAGGATACAAAGTATTTTCTTAAGAACCCTTTCTGGTGACTTCTATAATCACAATCTCTTCACCTGATTCACCCCTCACTCATCTCTCTCAGTCACTAAACTCTTTATTTCCATGTGATTTTAAAATATAAATGGAAATTTCACTCTATCACTTTGGGGTGTTTTTTTTTTCATTTATCATGATTATGTGTTCACACCAGCTGTTATGTGTCTCAGTAGTCTGCTTCTTAACATTACTGAATGGCAGCACACAATTTGTTTAGCAGTTCACCCACTGAGTGAAGGACAGAGTTATCATGAATAAGCTACCATAGACATTCATGTAGAGGGTTATGTATAAGCAAAGAGTTTTCATGTCTGGAATAAATGCCCAGGACTATACTTGCTGGGACTTAAGTAGTTCATGTTTAGTATTTAAGACATGAATAAAACATCTTCCAGTGTGACTATATTGTTTTACATCCCCACCAGCAACAAATAGGTTAGCCTGACTTTGAATCCTTGCCAGGATCTGGTATTGTTCTCTCACAGCCATTCTGGAAGATGTCTGATGAAATCAGCATGGTTTCACTTGGCAGGCTGCACATCTTTTTATGTGGACATCTTCTCTGGTGAAATGTCTCTATTTGTCCACTTTTACTTACCATATTCTTTTGTCATTCCCTTTGAATTCAGAGAACACTCTTCAGGCATTCTTTCACTTTAAATATGTGGACAAGAAATTAGTTTTCCTGCTCTAAGAATGCCTTCATTACTTTCTTTTTTTTTTTTTTTTTTTTTTTTTTTTTTTTTTTAAAAAAAAAAAAAAAAAAAAGAGGACGATAAATCTTTCACTGTGATATATCAAAATAATCACAGAGATCCGCCTGCCTCTTCCACATTTCAAAATGATGGCCATGCATTCTATGACCCCTTGCTCCTCTCTTACCAGCCTCCAGCATCCTCCCTCCAGTCATTCTGGCCTTCTGATTCATCCTACCATCTGCTAAGATGGTCCTTACTGCAGGGCCTTTTTATTGCTATTGTTACCACCTTGAATATTTCTCCTTAGATCTAACATCCTTCTTTTGAGTTTATTGTATGGGCTGTGCTTTATTTCATGGAAGTCTCTGGATGTGCTTTATTTCATGGATGTTCAGACATCACATCAGAGCTTCCATGGCCAGCATGGTCTATAATTGTACCCTTTCTGCCTTGCATCTCTACTTATTTTCCTTCATAGAACTCCGTGTAGCAACATTAAATTTTTTAACCTCATACTGTCTGTATCCTGTGCCAGAATCACGGGTTCTGGGAGTGCAGACATTCTGCTCTTCAATTCTGTGTCTGCAGTATACCATGTGTTGGAGGACTTTCACAGTTACTAGTCCAGTAGTAAGTAAAGGCACGCTGCTTTGTTTTTTCTTTAGGTCAGTATTTGTCCTTGACTTTCCAAAATCTTTGTAAAAACCATAATTTGGAAAAAAAAAAAAGATGTTTATTAAGAGCCTGATACGGTAACACATTTCCATATTCAAGTGTAAACAAGGTCCAGGGCAGCTTCCTACCCACAGCTCTAGGTCTGTCCTCCCATCCCTGCTTGACTCCAGCACACTGGCCACCACTGCTTTATTTTATGAATCAAACAGTGTGCCTGTGTGAGCCATTTGGAAGTGACACAGCTGAGCATGTACTACATAAAACTTTCAGTAAAACCTTGGGACCTAAAGTCACCAGATTTGGAGTCTTAAAACAGGGTAAATGACAACACTGTCCAGAATTTTAGTTTCCACTTTGAGGATTTCCTAGAACTACAGGAGTGAAAGAGAAAAAAAAAAAAAAAAAAAAAAAAAAAAAAAAAAAAAAAAGGATGAAATAAAGAAAGAAAGAGTGTACCTCTTTTAGAATTTCTAAAAAAAAAAAGAGAGAAAAAAAAAAAAAAAAAAAAAAAAAAAAAAAAAAAAAAAGGTCTAAAGTGGGCATGCCACAGTAATACTTCAAGAAGAATTAATAACAACAGTTTTTTTGTTTTACTATATTAGAATTTTGCTGAAAAAACAAAGTAAAAAAATAACGCTGAAAATGGTAGGTAGAATATAGTCACTTAGTGTTGGTTAGCGTTGCTCTTCTGAGCCTCAAGATGTCCACCTAGCTCCCTGTATTTTACTGGACATCACTTAACAGGATGGATGGGCAGTGAATGAGGTCTTCTAAACCCAAGGATTTGTAAACAACCCAAGGTCAGTCAGTATTTGAGATTCTGAAGGAAGAAATTTTCAACTAGTTCAAATACAAACCATAGAAAACCCTTTACTTTTGCTTTAAGTATTAGCTACACCCTGAAGAAGGATGGGGTTAGGTCTCTAGGGGTTTGATGGAGCAGCCTTGCACGTGATATACTTTGCATTGTACAATCAACTCTGCTAAAACAAAGGAAGGAAAATAAGAGAACCTGGAATTGTACAACATGATCTGTTACTGATGAGAGAGAAGCTGACCTGCTACAAGGGGTAAAACAATGTTATAAATTAAATTCCAGTTATGATGGTGCCTTCAGAAAATACTGTTTAGATTACTATTTCATTGCAATCCCTACAGCTCAAGGAAGTCTGAACATGTATGACTATACTTTTCATGCTTACCTGGGTACTATAGTTAACAGACATCATCAGTCTTGTCCCAGACTCTCTGGCCACTTGCAGACTGATCAACGTGGCCTTCTTATGAGCCACGGCCAGCCGAGAGCCCACAGAAAAGAATAGGAGACTCTGAGGTTCATTATTCTTGAAAACTTCAACTCGAGCAAATCTGGCACTGTTGTTGATAGCTGCTCCAGCAGAGACTTCATATAGTTCCACAAAAAACTGCATTTCAACTTGCGGGGACTGACAGTGAGAAAAAGAGAGAACTTTAACTGTTACTAATATATGCCTCTTGTCAGACAGTTCTAATGCTAAGAAATGCTATAATTCATCTATATGATTATAGAAATGAATACATACCTAGGAACACATGCTATATAATTACAGAATTAATATTTTGAATTACTATGATATTTATTACCCTTTTCCCTAGTCTTTCTCTAAAAATATGTTTTCTTGTAGTGAGCTCCTTATTGGAAGATAAAAGTCCAAAGATAATCTACAAATACTCAAAAAGCAAATGGATGAATAAAATGTGTTCACACAGCAAAACAGTTTAAAATGGCTAAAACCAGGGGAAGCAATATACTAGTTGAATACTTTTCGGCATACGCAGCTCTCAAAACACGGTGTAACAAGTGATAGCAACAAATTTCAAAAAGATGTGGTCAACAGGTATTTACATTCAGCCTTTACATAATGATTCAAAAGACAAAACATCACATGTGACAGCAGTTGGCTCAATGCAGGTCAGCTGGAAACCAGAGCAGATTGTTGAGGTAACACTAGGGGTTACAAGAATAAAAGGGGGTTCAACTTTGTAAGATTAGTCTGTTTTCAAACAGCATGTCATATAGTTCAGCTGACCTTGAACTCCCTATGTACCCCAGGATAACCTTGAACTCCTGATCTACCTACCAAGTGCTAAGATTACAGGTATGCACCATAACTCCCAGTTTAAGGCTGGGGTCAAGCTCAGGGCTTTGTTTATGGTAAGCAAGCACTTGACCAACTGAGCTACAACCTCAGCCTGAGATTTTCTTTTTTAAAGTTTTAAAGAAATATTAGTGAATATTGGTAATAGTTTATTGTGTAATTTCACACAATTTCCAATTTTTCAAAAAAAAAACACTGTACCAAATATTCTGCTTAAGATAGTCTGTTCATGTGGTATCCTTGTTCTTTCTCAACAAACTGAAATCATTCATTTTCTAGAGCCTGAATTAATTTTTACAACACAGTGTCAATCACCTATTTTACAAATAATTTACTCTTAACAAAGTAAAATCTACAATTCTTAGCAGTGTTGTTAGCATCCTGGCATATCCTAACAAAACCAAGCTGATGTGTTTTCAACTGCACATGTCATTGTCTACTGGAAGACAAGGCAAATTTTTATCTGTCAGCAAGAGCCTTCTCCATCATTTGTTTTGTGATCATTTCAATGATAATTATTATGTGATGAAACAATACAGCAAACCCTTCCACATTATCCAAAAGAGTTCTACCTTAGTCATACAGTAAATGCTCTTCATCTCCTTCTCAGTGTCTGAAGAACTGTGTTTAGCCATCCTATGGCACAGAGCATTCTTCACTTCTGCTGATCCATTGTCAGTAAATATTGAAATGTGGAAATAACTGTACTCTTTCTACTTTGAGAAACGATATCTGGCAAATACAATGAATCAAGGCAGTAGGAAAAGTATGGGTAACTGCATTCAAGAGCTATTATTCCCTAATGGCCAAGTGAGTTCAAATTCACAATAGTCTCCTTTAACTGAAGATTTCAGTATATGAAATTCCAATAGACACTCTTCTCTTTGTTTTCCACTAAAATATTCCTTTTCATTGTGATGATGATTAGAACATTACTTACAACCACTTACAGTCAAAAGAATATGTTGTAATCTAAGAACCATCTAAAAATTGAATAGTGTACAGATGGGTGCCTACATATAATTAGACTTTGAGACAAAAGGACTCTTTCAGTCGGACAAAGAAATACTCTATTCAAACAATATTTCTGAAGTCCAATGTGAAACAAAGACTCAAATATCATATCCGAACCTCTCCAGGCTCCTAAACATAATTGGAGACCTCACATGAACCCGTTCCACATGGAACTGCCACCAGGTCCCTTTCCTGCTTAAGATACTTCAGGCTGATCTTTTGCCCTAACTAGTATAAAATTATTCTCCCTGAACTGAAGAAACAGAAGAGTAAGAAGGAAACAATAGTTTTCTAAAAGAAGTATGTAACCAATGTCTAAATACTGCACTTAGTTTAAACATTTAGTGAGTTAAAAGCATGTCTCCTGTCTTCGTTTCTTTTCTCATTGCTGTAATAAAATCCTGACAAAAGCAAGGTAAGGGAGAAAGGGCTTGTTTGGGTCACAGATCCAGGTTACTGGCCATCACTGTAAGGAAGTCAAAGTGACAGGAACCTGAACCAGCTGCTCACATCGCAGCCGTGGTCAAGAGCAGGGAGCAATGAATTCATGCATGCACACAGTGCTTAGTTCATTCTCTTCTTTCCATCCAGTCTAGGGTCCAGTCCATAAAATGGTGCTATTCACATTTAGAGTGGGTTTTTCCCACCCCAGTTAACCGATTAAGAAAATTCTTTACTGGTATGGCCTTAAGCCAACTTCATTGAGACTCTCTTCCAAGGAGATTCTACCTGTGTCAAGTTTAACAATCAAAACTAACCACAATACTTCCCAAGTTAATTACATATATTGAGACAAGGTCTTGCTATATAGTCCTGGCTAGCCTGGAATTCACTATATAGACCAGGCTGGCCTCAAACTCACCAAGATCCACCTGCCTTTGCCTCCTGAGTGTGGCTAATATGAGAGTGTGTCACCGTGCCTGACTTATTTTTATAAATGTTGCTAATATAGAACCCAAAGATAAATCATCAGGGAAAGGGCAAGAGGACAGAAATTTAAAAGATGGGTTCTAACCTGTCCAAGTAATTGATTGAGCAAGGTATTTAAATTCTCCATAACTTCAAAACGAAAGCACTGAGTAGCCTGCAGAGGACAACTGGAGAAAAGATAGAGTAAAAAGTCTTAAAGTTGAAGATCAAGAAACTGGACTAAGGTATACACCACTTAAATCTATGTATCTCTCTGTATAGATGGATTTGCTTGTGTGTGATGTGTGTAAACATCACCAGTGTTCTTGTAACTACTTCAGGAGCCTGAATTCCCTCAGGCTCCACTCCCATCCCTTCTGAGAAATAACACTATCAATCATCTCATGAGGTCAGTTCCTTGCCAAGAACTTTGCTAATAACCTTCATTCATTATCGTATTTAATCTACTGAATAGCTCTTCTATTATCCCTTTTAAAGTTGGGAGGCTTGAGGAAGGCTAAAGAATTTGTCCAACATTACCTAATGAATGAGTAAAAGAGCTAAGATTTGAACCAAGGACTTGGCATCAGAGTTAAAAGCCTTAACTACCATATGGACTTCTAGAACAAGCTCTGTGTAATTCAAATCATTTCTTTGGCAAAAAAATTAAAGATAGTTCTTAGGTCAAAAGGTTAGGAATAACTTTTGTTCGGCTGACATCCACGTCGCCTCGCAGCTGCAAAATATGGATGCAGAATTTGCCTTGTATTGCAAGCTCTTAGATTTTATTTGAGAAATAGAAATTTGAATTTGCTGAGACATAAATCCACCTTAATAAAATATAATTTGTTTAAAATGTATATTAGAAGCTTATCATGCTTTAATATTCTTTTTTTTTATTTTCTTAAGAACATAATCATATCCACCTCCTTTATTTTTAAGACAGGGTAGCTTATGGTAGCCCAGGGATGTGGCTATGTAGCTCAGGCTGACCTCCAACTTGTGTTCTTCCCGCCTCAGACTCCAGAGCAATGGAGTTAGAGGCCTGTGTCTCCATACCCAGCTCCTCCTTCTGTTTTTAATAACTTATTTAAAAAGTTATTTATTTAGTGCATATGAGTGTTTTGCCTGCATGGATAGAAGTGCACCAGTGTTGTGCAATACCAGTGGAATCCAGAAAAGAGCATCGGGTCCCCTGGAACTGGAGTTACAGATGGTTGTTAACGCCATGTGGGTGCTAGGACTTGAACCCGGGTCCTCTTGAAGAATAGGCGGTGCTCCTAACCACTGAGCCATCTCTCCAGCCCCAAGCCATCTCTTAACCCACCAGCACTCTAACTTTCCTATCTTCTTTCCTTCCAGTTTGTGGTATGGGTGAAGCCACAGATTTTGAAGGAATGCTTAAGATTTGAGTGTTTTCAAGTAGAACAGCATGATCTAACATTTTGAATACTGAAGTTTCAGCTTCTCATTGTTAATGTGGCAAAAACTGTTAGCAGCTGATTAAATTCTAGATTTTAAAAAGCAATATACGGGGGTAGAGAGATGGCTGAGCAGTTAAGAGCACCAACTGTTCTTGCAGAAGAGAGGGATTCGATACCCAGCACTCACACAGTGGCTAGCAGTCTGTAACTCCTGTTCCAGGGGATCTGATGCCCTCTTCTGACCTCCAAGGGCATTGCATGACCTCAGTGCACTTACATGAGGCAATACACTTGTACACATAAAACTAAATTTTTTTGTTTAAGCAATATACTTTGTAAGCTCTACCACAAGCCGGACGCTGCAGTAGCGGGACGTTTGTTCACAACCACTTGTTGCTCACAGCTCTAGCTCATAAATGTCAACCTCTAAAATGCTTCCTTATCAAAGATATTCAGTCCTTGGACAGTTGTTGATTGAATATCTTAGATTAAGAGCAATCGGATGACTCTGAAGATACGAAATTGCTATCAAGCAAATATGCCTTCCAAGTAATAATGAAAAGACAAATGAATCCCTTCATCAGATAGCTCTTGGCCACAAGATAACAACTCGAGCAATGACAAGAAATAACTTTTAATAAATAGTTAAAATTAGCAAAGTATGAAACTACAGTGATACCACAATAATGAAGTACAAAACCAGTCCTGGGGGCTGTCAAGAAGGCTCAGTGGGTGAAGGAGTAAGGCAATCAAGCCCAGCAACCTGGAGGGAAATAACTCCACAGTTGTCCTCTGATCTCAACATCAGCACTGTAGCTCTGCATGCTCACACACACGTCATTCAGTTATACATTAGTAATAACAATGATAACAGGTTAGAAATTAAAATAGTTGTAGCCATTAATGTGTATTTAATATCTTACTAATTTATAATAAGCTAAATTTTAATGTGTAGTAGGGTGTTAAATATCAAAATATTTAGAAAAGAGTCATCATTTTTCTTTCTGCATTTAAACAGGAAGAAGTTAATCTGGAGAAGTGGGTAGAAAAGAATTAGTTCTAGGAAGAGCAAAACTTGTACCAAGAATAGGAGTGACTAACGCCTGTGAAACACAAACGAACGAGGCAGAAATAAGGCCAGCGGTGTCTTTCCCAACATGACGGCACAAATGACGCAGCCTGTGTGTCATGCCACCGCCACCCTCACTGGCCTCCTAGATATAATGAAACAATAATAAAGCAGGCACATGTCCACATTAGTCCCACCAAGACTATCACTTAGCTGGTGTTCTAGTTTGCTTCTTCATTGCTGTGACAAAATACTCTGACCAATACCAACTTGGAGAGGAAAGGGTTTATTATATCTTACATCTCCCAGGTCACAGTTCATCAGGGAGCCCAAGGTAAGAATTCAGGGCAGAAACCTGGAGGCAGAAGCTAGAGCACAGGCCATGGAGGAATGCTGCTTACTGGCTTGCTCCCCTGACCGCCCCCCGCCCCCCGCCCCCCAGCCTGCTTTCTTATGCAGCACAGGCTCGCCTGCCCAGGGATGGCACCACTCACAGTAGGCTGGAGCCTCCCACATCACTCAACAGTCAAGAAGATGCCCCACAGACATGGCCATAGGCCAGACCAATGAAGAAAATTCCCCAGTTGAGGCTCCCTCAACCTAGGTGTGTCAAGTTGACATTAAAGCTATCCAGCACAGCTGGTACTGAAATTTTTAAAGAATAAATCATTCTGGGGAAAACACAGAGTACTGAGAAAAATCATCCTGAAACACAACAATTGATAAAAACATATTCATGCAACAAGTGAAGTCATAAATGGGACATAAATCACATGACTAGCACTTCTCATGCAAAATGGCTTGGGGCACGAACCAGGTCTCAACCCAACAAAAGCAAAGTCAAGGTAATCTAGGACACAGAAACTTCAATGATCAGAGACAATAGTCTTTCTCAGTTTCAGAACAAAAATCCCACAAAATATGTATTAGTGTACCCTTAGAAGATATTGGTGTAACTGTTACAATAATTCTCAAAAGGTTAAAAAAAAAACAGAACAAAAGGAAAAATTGTTTAATTAAGTCTAACCTACAGTGTATTTTTTTTTTTAGAAAGGCTTGGCATAGTAACTGTTTAAATGTATTTGTGCACACCTTCTCTGCAGCTTGAAGTGTGTAGTTCATACGAGAAAGCTGTTATACTTCTGAACACTATATAATATGGTGGACAATGTTTGTGTTAAATATTTGGAAATGAGCAGCAAAAAACACAATACTGCTGAGTGCACCTCAGATATGAAATATCACAGAATAGTTGCTAGGCAAAAAAGCTACACACGATTTGAATAATGCAGAGTGCCTTGGTGTAGGAGCAAAATCTACCTCCCAGGGCCATGTAGAACATGAACAAATGGACATTTACCCGAGGACGGACCAAGAAGAACTATTGTGCCTCTTTTGGAGACCAAAACTGTACTGCCCAAGAATATACGAAAAGAGAACAAAGATCTTTCATGCATAAATAAAATAATTTATGAATATGGTAAGAACAAAACAGTCAACATTCAGAGTAATGAGAGATATGAATCTGGCTAACAGTGACCCAAGAGGTTTTTCACACAATAAGTAGCTGAGCCAAGGGTACCCTTGAAAATGGCAACAGACAAGGAGAAAACAAGCTCATGTACAAAAATTCATGACACAATAAATGTTACATTTAAAGTCACTGGTCCAATTTTGAGATTATGGCTAGGCATAATCTCCCCATAAACAATGTGTAAATTTCAATTAAAAAAGGCTTAATTCAAAGAAATGTGGATAAGCTGACAGCACTGGGCCTCATCATTTCTTACCTTCTCTGGATTGAGCTCCAGGGTGATAAAGCACCGTGTTTGACCCACTGCACAGGTTGTGATCCCTGACACCGACCGAAGTTCATCAGTTAGGTTCACCCCATCTTTCTGGAGAACAGTGGCTGTTTGGTTAAGTGTGACTCGCCAGGAAACCCGGACTTCTTCAAAGACCCTGAGCACGAAACAAACCCATATGATGCAGGGACTATGTGACACAGTGCCAGGCGTGTGCCTTCACCGTGCTAACTGTCCCTCCTCATCCACAGGGCGGCACTTACTGTATGTCTGACTGCTGAAGCGAGAAGCCCTTCTCATAACAGGTCAGAAAATTAAGACTCAGAGTCAACACAGTGTTCTCTGACCACATGCTATTCAGTAATGAATTGACCTTTGGGAAACTATTCTATACCAGGAATGTGAAAATAAACATTTTTCATTCTCACAATAAACCATACGTGTGCAAATAAAATAAAAAGTACAGAGAGCCTCTGATCCCAAGAAAATGCTTCTCATTTGTCTTTTAACAAGAATTTCTCTAGAGGAAGACTATCACTCAAGTCAGTTATAACTGTAACAATTAAAGGCAAAATATGTCCTACATTTTCACAGAATAGGCCCCCAATGGAAATTTTAATATGTACTCATGTGCATTTCTATACTAGGTATAGAAATGTTACAAGCTTCCAAATATTCACTGGTATCTCTTTGGCTACAGGGAAAAATTTTGGTACTCCAAGTCTCCTGAGAGTTCAATGGTTACAAACACAGAGTCATCACAAAGTGCTAAATATGGTGAAGTGGTGTCATCTGACATTTATATTTATGGTACCATAAAAAGTGAAAAACATTCTAGGCAGGCCTACATTATGATATGCTGAGTCTAGATCAAGAACGACAGCATCTCATGGCTGGTGAGGTGACCCAGCAGGTAAAATCACCTCCTTTGCTACCTTGACCATCAGTGCTCAATTCCTGGACTCCATGGTAGAAGAAGAGAAAGGACTCCTCAAAGATGGCCTCTAAACCCTTCACACAAACACCACAGAAATGGCACACCCATACTGACATATACACACAATAACAATAAATAAAATACTACAAATTAAAAGAATGAGTTTCTTAATACTGAAACACTAGCTTCCACATTATCTTCTATCAACATTTATCCTACCTTCATCATTTTGTATGAACCCTAATTCACTTTGTACAGAATTCCAGTAGATGTTCCATACACACATACACACACACACACACACACACACTTATGAACACACATATGTAATCACACATGTGCATGGAAATAAACATATGCATGCATGCATGCATAACACACACCCACACGAGCACAAGCATATACATGCATGTACACCCAATCCTGTATGAACACACGTGCACGTGTGTGCACATATATGCACATGTGTGTGCACAAACAGCATGCACACACCTGTTTGGCTGTCTTGTGACAACCAGACGCTGTCCACTGGGATCACCTCCTTCCCTCAGTTCCAGGCCTTGTTGAGACTCCTCACTGAAGCCCATGATGCCATTGTGAAGGTCACTCTCTGGAAGGGAAAACAGAGGGCATAATACATTTAAGAATTTACAAACTCTATTAAGAAAGCTTAAGCGAGAAACTGAAAGTGGGAGGTGAGAGCTACAATTTTGAATGTTTTTTCCTAAAAATATCCCAAATTATAACTTCAAAGTAACTCTGAGAATAGAGGAGCAGAAGAAAGAAAACTGGACACCCTAGCCTGCCTGAGGCATGCCTATTTCTCTGACCAGACCTTACAGCACATTTAACAGTTGTTCACGCTTTATGTACCCACCTACCTGTTCAAAGTCTGTGCACTGTCACGGAATGGAAGTTCCACCAAAGCAACAACTGCTTCATTCACTGCTGTATTTCCAGCATGAGGAGAATGCCAGCTTGTGGCAAGTGTTTAATAAATAAATATTTATCAAGTAAAAGACCTTATTTACGTAATTCGCCTTCCTTTAAGTGGATTGACAATTTTTGTCACACAATCACACGTTTGCCTCAGAACAAAAGTAAATGACTAAGCAAATCCTGGTGTCTCTGAGTGCTAAAAGCTCACTGGAGTAACACGTGCAGGTGTAGAACCATCACACTAAAAAATGTTTGAACCGAATCAAACCTGAGACCTCCCACTGACACAGTCACTGCACTTCCAGGCCAGCACATCAGTGAAGTCGGGTTAGACAAATACCAAACTAGTGTACAGTTTCATCTGTTTTCTCTTTGCCATTGGTCCAGTTTTTCAAAGTGATCCTAGAAAGGATGATCCTAAAGAAATGCTAAACAAGCAAAAAACTCCACCCAAAACAAACAAAAAAAATGGTATCTATCAACCAGAAACCTGACTTCTGCCATTCCAAGAAGACAGAACCTCTAGACTAGGTCAGGATAATGAAATGGAAAAGCAATACAACTGTCCTGCCTTGGAGAGATAGTAGTCACCAGCCCCTGGCCTGTCCCTGAAGTGATAGTAAAGGCTCCATGCAGGCCCCATGGATCATGGCCATTCATGAGATGGGCTACATCTGTTCTGGTGCCCCCTATGTTTAGTCTCAGCCTGACTGCCGATCTTCATTCTCACCAATTAAACAGTATAATCTCTTCTTAGGCACCAGCCACTAAGGCAATGTAACCAGCTTGCAGAACTGAATTCAAACTTAGAATGCCCCTAATAAATTGTTGGAATAGGAATAATTGATATTAATTCTAATTGGTTTTATTTTCAGAGTGACATAAATAGGAGAAACAGAGTATGAAAGGAAGTTATTATAAAGTTATGACTGAATTATAACTGAATGACTGAAACAAAGTAAGTTCTAGGAAGCACCATGCTCTAAAGTGTGTTTGAGATCGACTGCACAGCACATGAGCAGTTAATAGTGCAGTAGTGTACATTTCAAGATCACCAAGATCACATTTCAAATGTTCTTACCACAAAATATGCTGAGGATTTGGGATGATGGATGTGTTATGAGCTTGATTTAATTGCTTAACAATTTACTCATAAATCATACCCTATATATAAACAAACAACATGTAGTAAAAATAAAATATAATCATGAAGTGGCCTTGTTACTACCTTAATTAGTTATTGACAAGATCACCTATTCTATCTAATGAAATATACTATAATTTCAGAAGTAAACTGAAAATTATTATCAAATGAAGACGAGAAACTTCTAAAAATAATTAAGAGTTTTAAGATGTTGTAATATGCATATAAGATATATACACACATGAGGCAATAACACAATAATTCTATCAATTACACTGGATCAAAAATAGAAAAAACCTTAAACTACTGTAATATTTATTATAGGGTTTGTGTGTTTCATATGCATTATATATATCTATATATAAATACAAAAAGAACAATGATTATATCAGTGTGTTGGGTCAAAACAAAAAAGATACTACTTTTAATCTACTCCATGAGAATTTCTTGATGATGATGATGTCTTAAGATCTCAAAACAAATAGGCAACTATATGTTTCAATATAAAGAACATTTTTCTAGAAGAACAGATTTTTCTCCATATTGTGAAATCATAGATTTGGAGATCATATACCTAAAAGCACCTGCAATTTTTAAATTGCAGCATGGCACCAAAACTCAACAACATGAACTCATATTATGGTTCCTAACTTTGGGAAGACTTTTTTTCTTTTTCTTTTTCAAGACAGAGTCTCACAATATAGCCCTAGCTGGCCTGGAACTCACCACACAGACCAGGCTGGCCTTGAACTCACAGAGATTCACCTGCCTCTGCCCTCTGAGTTAAAGGCATGCACTACCATGTCCAGCCTGAGAATAAAATTTTTAATAAATTATTACAAGTGGCTCACATAATTGGCTTTCTTAAGTTAAAGTCCAGACAGGCTGATCTTATTAAAAATTCCATACTGCAACAGTTCATAAATTCATCTCCATCATGGCATCACCATTACCTGTAATAACAACAACAGCAAAGGCTGAAAACCCAGTGTCATCCTTTCCCTTCACAATCTGTGCTCCCCCTCGAGGGTCTGTGAGAAACACATAGAAGAATTCCTGCCCCTCAGGTTCATCATCATCCAAAATCCGAACTGATACTTTAAGCTCTCTTTCTCCATCTGGGAATGTAAGGATAAGTGTTTGTTCTTCAAAGTCCTCTTCTTCAACTGCCCATGTTAGATTGGAGACTCCATAGACATCCTGAAAGGGCCACACACTGGGTTCTTTCCGAGCACATCTTCCACCAAAAGTCTTAACCGTCACACTGACATTGCCTATGTACCCACTGGTCCTTTGAATAAGAAATTCTGCAGTACTGAATGTGCTGTTCTTCGTGTCCTCTGCCACATAAACAATGGGGGGCCCGAGACTGAGCATTCCATACATCAGGACATGGGCAGTTCCGGTGGCCACATCAGGCTTCTCATACGTGGCAGATGTACTGTGAAGAGTGACCAGTTTCTCAGGTGTGACAGATACACCTGTTGTCTCAGTATCAATGGCAAACAGCTCAGTGGTGAATGGAATGGCAGTTATTTTGCTGGTGTTAGGATGCATGGTGGAGCCAGTTTCTACAGCAAAGAGAGTGCTGTCAACTGCCATAGTCACCGTTGTCGTAGGTACAATGTCATCATTGTCCAGTATGGTGACCACTGTAACACTGAGATCTGGATTTAGGCGGGGTCTCCAACTCACATCCCCCTTTTGTAGTCCCCTAGTTTCTACCGAAGTAAGATTAATGTAAAAAGTTTCCTCTGTCTCGGGAAGCTGATCATTAATAATGGTTACCTCAAAATCAACCTCAGCTTGGAATCTTTGAAAAAACAGTTCCCCATTCTGAATAGGCTCAAAGTCTTCCAGTGGCCTGGCACTCCCTGCAGCCGTCTCATAAGACACTTTGATAAGATCGCTGTGGAACCCAAACAGTCTCTGTACTTGTACTCTGATCGTCCGTGTATCCTCTGACACTGTGATATTTCTTGAACTAGGGGAAAACTGGAAGACTCCCATGGGTTCAATTTCAGCAGTAGTGAAACCTGATCTGGAAAAAAAAAAAATTAAGCCATGAGAACTGATGTCAACAAAGCAATACAACTGTAGAGTTCTTCTTTTCAATATCTAAATGCTGCTCATAAAAGAAGTATCTTCAAAATAACATGTTCTCCCAAATCCTGTAAAATCTTATTTACATCAGTAAGAAAACAAGAAATGGACAAGCAGGCACCAGAGTAGCTGGGACAGGACCTAGCGCAGCTTAGGGAAGAGCTCACAGGTCTATGCTCTGACGCCTGTCACATCAAAGCAGCCGTCTGAGGATCTGAACTCCAGGTTCTCTCTATTGTCAGAACAAAAGGACCCAAACCTCTAAGATGCTCTGAATATCAGTGATCTCTCATATCTATGAAGCAGAATTAGTCTCTGATACTGGAAGCAAATTTCCTGCTTCTTCTACTTCTCAGTTGCATTTTCTTTCACAAATACAATTAAAACTTCATATGTGAGTTGGAGGAAACATCAGTGGCTGAATAATTGATCCTTAACCCTTTCTTATATGTTTTTATTGGGACAAGATATGTCAGAAGTTACATTTAGTAGTACACTAACCTAATTCTGACCACAGACGCATTTTTCTTTGGGTTCAGTTTACATAGAGAATTTAAATATAAATGTTTACTATATAAATTTATAAATCATATAAATTTAAGTGATTTTTATGGAGGACATTTCAGGTTCATCACTCTCTAATGCAAAGCACATAAAATAGCAGTTGAGTTCAGACAGTGGCCAGAGAGCCTCAGATCAAGTCACAGCAACACTAATTAGGAGTGTGATGCTGAGTTCATTACATAATCTACCTATAAGTTCATTTCTTCATCTATAAAACAGGACAAATCATACCAAGTGCCTTTTACAGTTAGTAATGAGGAAAGGTGGGAGCGAGCCTTACAGCACTGTTTGGTTTAAGGTAAACACCATAAAGTTTTATTTCTTAATGTTATTGTTAAAAATACTTAGATTTATCACCCTGAAATATGCTATTCAGACAAATATTACTTTAAATAACATATGCATAGTAAAGCCATATTTGATTCCATGGATAGTCATTCTCCACCCAAACACGCATATAAATGTATTTGAATGCACACTAGTCCTTTGATGGCTCTCTCAGGCCTGCTCTGTTGCTTTAGTGACGCCCATTTCAAGTAACAGAAAAAAAAAACTGCTTTTGGCTGCAACACATTTATCTGAAAGTGTGCTGGGTTCCATATAAATAGTCATTATAGATGATTAATAAATTTAAATAAAAATAAATAGAAAAGAGTCACTGGTTTTACAAGTCAAATAACACCATTTCCTTATTGTGATTCTTCATGTTTATTCCTTTTTTTTTTTTTCCCCAAACATGGTCTCACTCTCTAGCCCTGGCTGGCCTGGAACTTGCTATGTAGACCAGGCTGACCTTGAACTCACAGAGATCTATCTTCTCTGCCTCCCAAGTGCTGGGATCTAAAGAGTGTACCAGCATGCCCAGTTTTTAAATTTATTCAACTTAGTAACTTAGAAAAATCAAGTGTTTTCAGCTTTTTCTCAGAAAACAGCTCTCTTTAAAATCTAGGGAGTGGGCCATTAAGGATTCTATGAGCCCAGGCCTCCATTCTGAAGCTAGAAGTCATGGTGAGCTCTCTGCAAGGCCGGAGGGGGTGGGGACCACTACTGAAAATGCTCTCCCTCTCCCTGCCTCTGGCAGACAAGACACAAGCTGTTCCATGCCAAATCTGTTTGCATCTGCTTCAAGAGCAGCGATCCTCCCAGTGCGGTATTCTGGTTTGGCATTCCAAATAATTCCTTGGAGAGCGTCCTGGATGAAAATGAGGCTGGCTGTACCTGAGTTGAGCTCCGCCTGGAGCACTGCTCCTCACGCTTGACAGGTGAAGGACAAAGGCCTCTGGCCGACCAGGGATGGGAAATGTCCACAGCAAAACTCCCTTCCTCTGTTCACCATGTGAAAAGAACAGCCTTCCTGGAAGGAAAGGAACAAGGAAAGGAGCTAGGAATTCTTGTTTCTTAAACTGGAACTGACTCTAAAACGTGCTGAAATGCTCTTCAAAATCTGATTGGGGTCCAAAAGGATAAGATACTTAATTAACAGGGAGAGAAGGGAACACCTTTATAGAAATCTTCTGAGACCACGCAAGCTTTGGTTTTAGTCCCTGTTTACTTGGCTCTTCCTGCCCTCCTGCCTCTCCCCCTCCCCTTCCTCACTCCTCCTTCTTTTTCTTCAGTTACCAAAGTCAGAACAGTGCTAGGCAAGCTTTCATGTAAATTTGGTGTTTAGCTGTGGTTTCAAATCTAGCTCCAACACATCCTTCCAGGATTAAAGAGGCCAGGGGAATAAACAACAGACCTGCCTTCACAGCTGAGATCACACAAAGACTGACACGAAGATTCCCTGGATCCCTGGGTCCTATGCTGTGCTTTTTTGTAGTTTGTGTTTATTGAATTTTGTTGTATTTCATACAGACTATCTCAAAAAAATCTAGCTCCAGCATTTTAAAAAATATTTTTATTTTATTATTTTTATTTATGTGTATGCGTGTACTGCCTGCATGTTCGTAAGTGCCCCCGTGTCGTGCAATGCCCGTGGAGGACAGAAGAGGCTGTCAGATCCCCTG